ACGCATGGTTTCATAAATGTCACTGTTGGGGGAAACTGGGTAAAGTGTACAAGGGACCTTTCTCTATTTATTTTTCTTTCCTTCCCTTCCTTTTCTCCTTTGTTTCTTCCCTCCCTTTACCCTCCCTTTCTCCTCTTCTCTTTCTCCTTCCTCCCTCCTCTCTTTCTCTTTCCTCCCTCTTCCCTTTCTTCTTCCTTCCTTCCTGACAGTCTCACTCTGTCACCCTAGGCCAGAGTGCGGTGATGTCTTCATAGCTCACAGTAACCTCAAACTCCTGGGCTCAAGCAATCCTCCTGCCTCAGCCTCCCCAGTAGCTGGGACTGCAGGCTTCCACCACAATACCCAGCTATTTTTTTCTATTTTATTTGTAGAGACAGGGTCTCACTCTTGCTCAGGCTGGTCTTAAACTCCTGAGCTCAAGAGATCTTCCCACCTCAAGAGGCCTTCCCGACTGGTAGGTTTATAGTTATTATTTGTTATAACTGCATGTGCATACAACTATCTCAATAAAAATTCAGTTAGAAAAAGAGCATTGTATAAAAGTTGTATGTAATTAGAATCTAAATTTCTAAATTAGAACTATCGTAGCCTGACATTAAGGTTGTGTTTTATTTGTTCAACGTGATTCTTTGTGCCTTCTTTCAAGTGACTAATAATTCCCAATTGTAATCATCATTTGAACCATTTGAACTGGGCTATTTTGACTTTCAGGTGGGGTTTTAAAACTTGAGTTTGACATAGAGTATATGTGTGATCAAACCTTGTCTATCTGTTCAGATCACCCTAAAAACTTGGAAGATGATTTTAAAGCCTTTCTAGAAATGAGTCAGAAGTGTTGTTGTAGAATAAAACATAACACTTTTTTTTTCTTTTTAAGCTAAAAAAGTTTCTGGCCTAGTTGATGTCAGAGCCTTAACACTAATTATAAGCTTTTTCACTTAAGAGGTAAACAAAAGTTTGATAAATTAGACACAAACACCTTTGGAGTAGAGACAGGTGGGACAGGGCTGTCTTTAGGCCTCTGCAAGTGAAATTGGTCTTTGAAGCACTTAGAAATAAAGCTCTCCTGCTGCCGCTTGCCCTCCTGGGCAGTGCAATGCTGTGATGCTTAGACCTCTCCATACTGCTCTCATATGTGTGTGAGAGGGGTGGTGGCTGGGGACAGTGTGTGCAAGGGTTCCAGCTACAGTGGGGACTGCCTTGCCATCAGTTGGAGAACAAGGTGTGGGAGGCTGGTCCTGGTCTTAGGATTTTAATAGTATCTTAGGAATGGGATTCTAATGGCATTTTTATAGATGAAGTAGGGAAATCATTATTTCATCGAGGTTCTAATTTATCCAACTGTTTTGTGTAGAGGATACTTCTAGTATTATCCACATCTTTTATTTTTCATTACCTGCGTGCTATAGACACATATAGTAGAATTGCCTGTACTCCTTGGGGAGAATAAATTGCTGATACTAAAGTTTGTGGACAACACGAGTGTTGTGTGAGAGCAGTGTCTGTGATGTCTTAGGACAGTATTAAGTGTTGTCTGCCTGGACTGTTTGGCAGGAGGGAAACCATGGGGGATGAGAATATGGGAAAAATTGTCTGCCCCGAGGTGGCCTTGGAGACCTCTGTTAAATTCATCATAGACTCTCTCAAGTAGATGGGGTTTACACAGCACCATCAAGTATTTCCTGAAGGTTCTCTTAGCCTTTTCCAAGTTGAAGCAGCTTCAGTCTGTGGTTAAGTTCCCAAATGAATCCCAGCAAACAGGCTTTTTCCAAATGGATCAAATAGCACTTAATAAAAAATGGAACTGTGTCTAGGTACATAGCCACACACGCATGAAAATGAATTCCAGTGGTAAATGCTGTACAACTTGTTGGAAAAAAAAAAAAACCTCTTAAAAATGGTCTTTGGAAGGGAGAGGGAAGAGGGGAGAAAGGAGGGGGATTGGTGTGCTCCCACCTAATGGGCACAATGTAAGGGACATCTTCTGGGGGAGGGACACAACTACAGCAGGGACCTCACCTAACAGACCCAAGCATTGGAACCTAATCTTGTGTACCCTCATGTTAACCTGAGAGAACAAAGTCTTTGCTGTTCTTGTTCTTGTAATTGGACTCTACTCAGAGGTGAGTGTTGGGGGAAGTTGGAGGCAAATTTATGTGGCTATTATCTGTGGGTAGAGGGATGGAAAAATAGTGAAAATGAATGTCAAATTTCTCCGGTTTTCTTGGAGCTTACAAATGGCTGACCTCATCTCACATTTAAAATGCTATCACTTGGGCTGAAGTGTGGGTTTGGAAAAGAACAGCATTCAGGTGATATTTTGGAGAGTCAGCACCGAAGGATGGGATCTACAATTCACAAGCCATATCTACCTCTCCCTTTGAGAAAGCTTTGTGTTTTCACAAGAGGACCTAAATCCAGGCAGTCCCCACTTTTCAACTTTGCGTATTTCTGGGAACCACATAGTAAAATGCACAGTCATGAGGCATTATTTCCCTGTAGGAGTAACAATTGGTATTGTAGATTTCTTACGATATATGCAGACGCTGTTCTAAGCATTTTACATGCGTTAAATTATTTACTTTTCATAATTACCTCATGAAGTAGGTACTATTATCATCTCAACTTATGTATGAAGAAACTAAGGAACAGAGAGATTAAATAATTTGCCTAGGGATACAGAGGTGATTAACGGAAACACCAGCATTTGAATTTAGGCTATTGGACTTCAAAGCTTGAATTGTTAAACCATGACGATATCTTGCACTTCAATGTTAAAACATTATTACAGTTTTTAAATAAAGATGTACTAGCCAGATATAACTAAAAGCCTATCATAAAAGCAAAAACATGTTAATTCACCTATGTAGTTATTCAATGTAATAATTATAAATTGATAATTAGAAAAATATTTTGATTCTTCTAAAATGAAAATATATGTATCAGACTATTCAGAGGTTTAATTTACCATTAAGCAAGTATGATACAACTTTTCTGTGATGTAAATGCAGAAACAATATGCTACAAATGTAATCACATAATTATTGTTAAGTCTGGCTTAGACTTTGGAAAGCCTTTTGTGGTTTGGATGGCCTGGTTTTTTCTGTACAACTCCCTAGAAATGTGTACTAATATTTTCTTCCACCCTCTTCTGAAGGATAGTGTATGCAGGGTGTGGTATCCCAGGTTGGCAGTTTTTCCAACTGTCTTCTGGCTTCCATAGTACCTGTTGAAAAGTCAGCTTAATTCGTATCATATTGCTGTGGGACCCAGGGGTCTGGGTGGTTTTGGTTGAAGGTGGGAAAATGATTACCTGCCTCTGGTGGATCTGATGGCCTTCTGGGGGTTAATGTGCAAGGCCCTTCTGAATCTTGGTTGCCTGTGTGATACATTCTCAGGATAGTGAGTTTGCTTATCAGATTACTAAACATTATCTTCTTACACATAGAACCTTTAACAGCAAAGCCCGTGAACTCAATTCTCTCTCTTTTCCTCCCTCCCCCTCTCCCTGTGCGTCTCTGCAGCACAGACCCTGGATTCTCATGGTCTATGGAATGTGGGCCTGCTGGTGTGTGCTGGGGACCCCGGGTGTGGCCATGGTCCTGCTCCACACCTTCATCTCCTTCTGTGTGGCCCAGTTCCGGTCGCTGATCCTGTCGTGGCTCTGTTCTCTCCTCTTGCTTTCCACACTGAGGCTGCAAGAGGTGGAGGAAGTTAAGGTAAGTAGCTTTCTGTTACCCCTGGGAGGGGAAAGCTCCTTCAGCTTTGCCCTTATCTCTGCAGATGCCTCTGTTTCCTGACAAGAGAGATCATAGAACCATGATGGGGCTCCCCCTAGTGGCCATACAGGGTTGACACATAAGAACCCTGGTGGGGCATTCTGCAATCTTGCTTCTTGTCTCTGACGGAGACACAGGAGGTTGCTCAAGGCTAACCCTGTACTTTTTCTCCCAGTTTAAGTAGGTGTGGTGGGTGCCAGATGTTACAGGACCAGAGGGGCAGAAACAAAGGGAAAAGAAATGAATAGGCTACAAGGCATTTAATAAACATCATCTGGAGAGCACTTCACAGTTTGTAGGGGACACACACATTTCTCATCTCCTCCAGTGCCCACAATGGCCCTGTGATGGAAAGGCAGGTGTTTTTCTTCTTAGTTAATGCAACAGACTTATTTATTTTTTGCTCTTACCATTTTTATTAACCAACATTGTAAAAGAAGAAAAAGAAATAAAAGGTGTACAATTTGGTAAGGAAGAAACAAAACTGTCATTACTGCAAATGATAGACTTATCTGCATAGAAAATAAAGTGACAATTCTTTTGAGCTGAGAGGAGCTTAGCAAGGATGGTGGATATAGGTCAATCTGTATGAGTCCATTGCATATGTATAATCAACAACCAAACAGTAAGAAAATGTGGGTATTTAAATGATAATAATAATAAATAAATAATGTTCTGGGAATAAGCCTAATAAGATGTGTGCAGAATGTTTAAGAGGAAATTGGCAATCTATTGAAAGACATTGATAAGTCCTACATAGGTGAAAGACTTATTTATTATCTACTGACATAATCCACTGGAAACTCTTTGAATGTAGAAGGTAAAAACAAAACATTTTGCCCCAAAGGCCACAGACCAAGCTTTCGTTTTTTGTGAACCCAAAGACATTCCCACCAGCTCAACTACCTGTCAATTGTTTGTGCTAATGGGGGAGGACATTGGGCTCAAACCCTACTTTTTATGGCTTTTGTTTGCATTAGTACAATTTTCTTTTATAGGCATTTACCTTCTTAGCTTTATTTTTTTCTTAGTCACAGTAATAGTACATTTTTGTTTTGTGAATGGATACCAGATTTGGCCCAAGGGACAGTGGATGGCAGAGAGACTGTGTCCGGGTTCAGGAGTTGGTGTGGGTTGCTGAGCCCACTGACCCATCGTGAACTCTCCCCACACTGTGTTTTTTACTCCTTTGTATGTTCTCCGATCACCTCCTGGGCTGCGTGCAGCAGCTCCTGGGCCATCTGGGCCTATCTTTGTTAACTGAAATGAGTTAGCCCTGCTCATCTCAGGCTCGTTCTGGCTTCCCTCTATCGCAGCTTTTACATTTTCAAGTTGGAGAATCTGGCTTTTCATCAAAGCTACCAGGGAAGCCATCTGGCTTGTGGTTGCAAGGGGTAGTCTGTGTGGAGCTCTCAACCATTCAGAAGTGGGCGTTTTCCTCTGGTGTAGAAGTGCATAGCAGAAAGAATACCAGTCCAGGGCCCCAGCGCCAGGGTCTGTTCCCAGGCTCTGGACAGTAGAGTGCCTTCAGCTTCAGGGGCAGTCAACTTCCGAGAATAGTCAGCCTAAGAGACTCATGGTTCTGAAAACATGGGGGACCTTGTGCCCAGGGCAGAGCCACGGCTGTCTTCTGTCTTCACCCACCTTCTTCCCTATCCTGATTCTCAGACAGTGCTTACGGGGAAGCCCTGGGTAATCGGCTTGTTTTTCCCTTGACACATGTTCACATTTCTGCGCTGTCTCTCGGAACCAACCTCCTCATCCCTGTCCACCAAGTTCTCTTTCAAAGTATGGCTTAGACCTCCCTCTGGTGCAGTTCCTAGGTCTGTGTACAACCCCTCTCTGATGCCAGGTGTTTTCTTTCTGAGATTCCTCAGATGAAATCAATGAGTTGTAGTGACTGCTTCACTGGTCCCAGGCTCTGTGCTGAATAAGGGTGTTTGTGTTCCCTCTACATGAAGCAGCTGGCTATCCACTGCTTGCTGTGTCTGGTTTTGCAGATGAGGGTGTACATTCTTGAAGGGGAAGGATAGTGTTTCCGTGCACCCAGACACGAGACTCTGGCCAGTTCTCTGCAGATGCTGAGGGAGCGAATGTGCCGGTGGAGATGGAATGTAGTTAGAGGAAGGAATGGGCATGGGCAGGGTCCCACGAGGCTTCATGGCATACAGGTCCCCCACATATCCCAGCTGGTGAGGCCAGCAGCTCTCTGAACGGCATACGACACTAGCCAGTCGGTTTTTCTGTGGCTCTTTTTTATTTCTTTACCTTCACCCCATTAACATTCCTTGCACAATCTTGGAAAGTTTTGGATAATCTTTCTTCAGTCACTGTGGGACTAAAACTCCTGTTGACAACTTTCATTTGTTTATTCCTTCACTCCTCTGTTGATCGGGTGACTGCACACGGAATTCACGTGCCTGGGTCAGCACGGTGGTGGGAAGGAGCACGACAAGGAAAGTGGGCCGATGGCCTGGGTTCTAGTGTCTTCTGTTGTTCCCTGTCTCCTCCCAGTCTTGAAGCTGGAGGCGGCCACTTAACTCTGACTTGGAGTTTCATTATTTATAACTTGTAACAGCTTCTCTGCCTTTCTCACGGGACTGTGCCCAGGGTCCAACAAGATAAAACGTTAAGTGATTTTATGAACGTTGTGGCATTTCAAAAGTTCTTTTTTGCTGTTGTTAAGCTGTCTTAATTTTTCTCGCTCTCACTAGTGGTGCTTTGTTTTAAACATACATTTCAAAATCTGGACTTACGGGACTAACTCAGGTTAGTAGCCCTGTCTTAACAAAAGCTTACCTTCTGAGAATGATTAATTAGGCAACCCTTTAAACAAGTGTGCTTAAAATGCAGTTCCAAAAAAATACAAATGCACGTCTAATCTTTTGTGGACCTGGCAAGTGCCCAGAACTTATCATTTTGGGGGTACAGTCAACATCAGTTATGGATGTTGGTGGGAAGTAAATGTTTCCTTTTTGTGCACATTTCTTGGTGGCTTGAAAAACACAGTAGGAGGAGAGCAGATGAGTAGAAACTAGCTGGTTTCAGTGCTTTCGCCCATGTGAGTCTCTTGGTCTGAGTGTCCTCCTCACCCCTGGGGACTGCTGACGTCTTAGACAAGTAGAAATTCTCGTCAGTGGTTTTGTTTTTTTTTTTGTTTTTTGTTTTGTAAATAGCCTTAAAAGACCCTCATGGATCAAATTAACTGCTGATTGCTTTATCTCATATATAGTTCCATACATTGTTTTTCTCACTAAAAAGCAACATCTGTGTATTTTTAGAAAATATGGGAAATATGGAAAAACAGAGGTTATCAAATGACTCATGATTTTACTCCCCGGACACAAACATTTGATCACATTTTCCTTCTTGTCTTTTGTCCCCTGTGTGGGTTTGTATAGGCTTGTTCTTGTTTCAT